GAAGACCAGATCTACAGGATCACTCCAACAGACCCACCACTCCAGGAGTGCTGCAGCCACCATTTCGGACTGCTATCAACAGCCTGACTGACAGGGAGTCAAGTTGTTTTCGACTCTTTCTTTTTGTACTGCTGTATTTATTGTTTTGTTTTTCCTATTAAATTGTATTTCTGACTTCGAGTCTTTCACTGGTTTGCTTTCAAACCAGTACACACTGGAAGGAGTTCTGCAGGTAATGTGCCCTGGGAATAGGCCTTGATAGGCCTTGCTTCTCTTTGCAATGACACATCACATCCCAGGGGTGTGCAGAGCCACAATTTCACAGGGAGGTTGCTCAGGCCTCAATTTCCCCTCTCCCCTCCTGCCACCCCCACAGGGATTGTTCTGCTCAAGCCCTTCTCCTCCCTCAACCTTCCATGACAGCTCTCCTTCGTGCCCTGGAGATTCCTTAACAAGTCGATTGCATACTTCAGGTTTGGCCTGAGACTTTGGTTTTGCCTTTTGCACCACATGACAGAGCTACTCAGGGTGGGAAGGGTCATGTGAGGAAGTGTGTAGTGGATTCTCCTGCGGAAAGCAGGATCTACCCTGCTCCAAGTTGATGGCTCAAGGCTTCATCCAAATGGGTTCTGAATACTTCTTACACCAGAGAGGTAACTGCAGCACTTGCATCTCCTGGTGGTGCTGCAGAGAGGAGACCCACAGGCAGCTGAGAGCTACACCAGTCTCAACCTCCATTGCTGATGGAAGGAGAATTAGAACTGCAACACCATTGGAATGGATTTTGTGCATGTGTGTGTGTAATGGAGGTTGTTCCAGCTGCAGCTCATTCTTTGAAGAGAGGGAAATGGGATGTGCAGAACTGTAAGGACAGAATATGAGACACTTAGGCTAATCCCCCACACTGTCTCCAGGGAAAAAGCATGGCTGTATGACAGGGCTTTGGGCATGGTCAGCACAAGCCTTCCCCCAGGGAACAGCATGCCCCTGCAAGCAGGGCACCCAAAAGCACAGCTGCA